ATAACTTTTTCGGTTTATTTTGGTTGTCTTGTTTACTATGTTTTTTATTTTTTTATTTACTTTTTGTTGTATCGTTATTAGCTAATTTTAGCCATCGCAAAATGGCGAACAGTGCGAACTGCGCTAACGACCGAAAACTTTTGTGGCCATCGCCGGCAGTTCGTTTTTTGTGGCTATTATTTATGAGCTTTTTGTGATTTGTTTTGATTTTTTTTATTATTATTATTTTAGCCATAGAGAGAGAGACTCAAAAATCAACTTGTGTTCAGTTATTAGGCACTGGCGCATTGTATTTCTGAGATACTCGCATGTATCCAGCCGATACTTGCATTGAATTTGCTTTTCTCATTCATTTTTCTCGTTTTTCAGTTTTTTTAGTTTTCAGTTTTCAGTTTGTGTGTTTTATGTGTGCTTCCCTCGGTATATTTCGGTGTATATATAGATATATCCCCACTTTACACAATTCCCAGGCCTAAGACGGTGCCACCTCGCCGCTTGGTACCTCCAATCCGGTACCCCGGAGAACCCGTTCATCCCGTCTCCGTCTCCGTCCCATCCACAATAAAGTCGCAGTAGTTCCAGGCGGAGACGGAGCCAAGTCTGAATCCAAAGCCGGGTGCCGGTGCCAATTTGCGAGTCAACCTGAGCGCATCTTTTTTTAGTTTATTTTTGCTCATTTAGCTGAGCTTCAGTAATGATGTTTATAGACGTCGAGCAAAACAAAAAACCCCGATCGTAAAACTTGAGAGCCCCTAGAGACCAGACCCTTCAGGGGAATTATACAGGGATCAGACTACCGTTCAGTGTATAGCAATATTCAATTTGAATATTAGTTTTCATTTAATATTTAGAATCGGTTTATGATTATTTAACATATGATTAGGGAGGGATCTTATCAATAATATTAATAATAAATATATGGGCATTTCCAAAACTTGGCCTTGACACCTAAATGTTATCAGCTTATATTTCTTTTTATTGTTTAACCTTAATGATTTTAATGAGTTTTAATGTCTTATCTGTTTCTATAAATATTAAATTTAATGTGTATTTTTACTTTAGTATTGAATTTAAAAAATAAAATAAATCATCGTAATGATTGTAGAAATTATATTAAAATAAAATTTTGAATGGATTTCTCAATATTTTGGTTTCATAGAAATAAATCAAATATTCCAGTCACAATCTTTATTATATTTCCAAGAATTGTACAAATAATTCATATTTCTATATATTTCTCTGTCTCCCTTTACTCTATGTCGCTCTTTTTTGCTATCTCAAACTCCCTCTAACAGACTTTCTCTATCTCTCACTATCTCTCTCTTCTCATTCAGTCTTTCTCTCTCTCTGTGTCTCTCATGAGGTATTACTTACTCCTATCTAACTCTGCCTATCTCTAGAGATAACTCTTTTCCTCTCGCTCTCGCTCTCGCTCTCCCTCTCACTTTCTCTACTCTTCTCTTTACTTGGGGAGTATAAATACAGGCCCTGCCATCCCGCTGACCTCATTCTGTCCGTGGCCTCCCCAGTGTTTACACCTATTGTGATAGTGATTGACCATTATTAATACCTGACCAATGTATTACATTTGGATAACCAGGAAGAAGCTTACTTCAATGATACCATGAAAAGCCCAATTAAAGTCACCAAGTATTAGCCATGACAATTATATCATGAAGAAGAAGTCTGACCCAGACTTTTGCACCAACTCATTATAATTCTAGTCAGAAGATTGACCCTATAAATTATATATGTTTTTGATCAGCATGATCAACTGGGTCGATCTAGTTATGTCTAGTTAAAGAAATGTGTTTACCCATTTTTTATTATTGATTTTAAGATTCGAACCCATGATCACGTGGGTAACATCTTCTCTAACTTAGCTTCCTGTCTTGTTTTAAATAGATTCAGAATATTGAAATTATTATTGTAATATATAGCGCTTAAATATATGTATTTATATATTTATATAGAAAAGGTCAGCCACTTCATCCCATAGTCCCAGTCAATTGAATTTTAAATAAGTTTGTGTCTATCAAAACAACTTAGGGCAGGTCATCATTAACATCAAGAACCTGAAACTAAATACATATACATATGTATATCGATGGGTAAATCCAACTAATAAGAGATTTTAGATTTCTGTCGTATAGAATGCCTGTTATTTTTGATTTTCTAGAAAGTTATCAACTGCCTAAAGAGTTATCCACTTGAGACCCATCCAAGTTTCCTACTTATCATACCATATTTACCTACAGACCACATTTTCAATTGAATGATGCAATGAGAAGTGAATTTTGTTTGCTCATTGTGCCATGCAAATTAGGGGACCCACAAAAAAAAAAAAAATAAAGAGAGACAGTAATTAATAATGCGGTAGCAACAAAAGAAAAAGAAAATGTAAATAAAAACTGTGGGATTAGCTGTGGGATGATCGCAATTGGAGGGATGCTGCCACCACTTTCGAGTTGCATAAAAGCAAAAAACTCACAAAGAAAGCCACTCTTTTTTTTTTGGTTTTAATTTAGTTCGTTATTAACTAATCACTTGAGTTTGACCAACTCGCAACTCTGTTTTTATTTTTTTTTTGTGGCCAGCCCCGTTCGTTGGCTTGTGACATTTTAATCATAAACCTTAGGAATTATGCAATTAACGAAGAGAGTCCAAAACAGATCTCCTCCAGGTTATTACGTAACGGTTGAGGCGGGGTTGGGTCACCAAAAAAAAATAAAAAAATAAAAAATAGATAATAGACGAGCATCTAGCATCATATAAAGCCAAAATGTAAAGAAAGAAGCAAATCAAAACAAAATCGATGAGAGAGAGGGAGGAAAACCGGTTACTTAATGGTCGGCAACATGGCGTATGAGCAATGTCCGTATAATATCTTATACAAATCAGCTAAATCATTATCAATCAAGATCAAGACTTGTAATTGTAAGAAAACTGGTTACTGTCAAGTGCTTAATTGAACCAAATTCATGTTTTTGATTAAATTAAATTTATCAATTACTTTTAACTTTATTAAAATGCTTTATAGATAGCTTTAAGGCTATATTAAACATCTTTAAAGCATCTCTTTCTTTGAACCTTCTTATTCATACATTTTAAAAGCTATTCCAAGAATTGATTCATTTAAAAAATGATGGTTAATCTAAGCAAAACAGCAGGCGGTGCAGCTGTTCCAGCAATCAAGATGAACGTTAACTATATAGCATAAAATGTTAATAGTATATAGTCTAGTATCTGCAACTGTGTGCAAGTGCAGTCACAATGAAAAAAATTCAGCACAAAAAAAAAGAAATATATATAAAAAAAAAATACGAAAAGCATACAAAAACTTAATGTTTTTTGTTTCTGTTGGTTTTTTTTTCGTAAGCAACTTGGAGTGGTGGTGCAACAACAACTACCGCCAACGAGTTGCAGTCGGAGAGGTATACAAGTTATACGGGGTTTTGCTTTTGCCTGTTTTAAATTATGTGTGCGAACGAGGTGGTGTGCGAGTGTGGAGTACCTTTAATTTTTTTAGTGTGTCGCGGGAGCTTTTTTTTTCTTTCTTGTATCCCACAAATATGTATGTATGTATATATATACCCTACCACCAGTTGTGGGGCATATCGCTGGGGCGAAACTTTTACATAATTTCCCTGCCTGTTCCTGCCTTCAAAATCACATTAGCTGCATCTAATTGAGGGAATGTCTAGCGAATTGTGTCGGTAAAAAAACAACAACAAACAAAACAATCACTCATTCGCATACAACAAAGGTTCTATAAATAGTTTGTGTACAGAAGCCATTAAATCATTTAATATAATTTTATTTATAAATCCAATTTAATTTGCGTTCGGCTAATTGCCAAGCGTCAACGCACAATCACGTGTGTGTAGCAGATTCGGTGAGTCTACAATGGCCGAAAGCTTTTTCAATACCTGAGCTCAGCCTCCATTAGTACAGTGGTTACTCGGTAAGAGAGATTTTAGTGTAATTTATATAGAAAATTTTAAGAACCTTTAATTAATTTGACATTATTTGTATTACATTCATAATTAATTTTTGTTAATTACAAATTCAAAAACATAGATATTGTAGAAAATTTTACAGAACAGAATAAGTACTTAATTTGTATTCCTAAACTAAGAGTAATATTTTATTTTAAATAAAAATTCCATTTAAAATATTTTATGGGACATATTAACGTTTTTTCCAACTCAATATTGAGAATCTATATATACTTTTTGTCCCATCTGCACTAAAATAAGGGTTTTCTAAAGCTCCCACAAAATGTTAAAACTTTATCGATGGCTAGAATTTTGATCTTTCAAATCCCAGAATTCAGACTTGGAAATAGTCTATTTATAGTTGAATTAAAAAGAGTTTGGTGCATTTAATTCCTTTCCATTCCTTTCAAGTTGAACACAAATCTACAAGCTAAATCTTAATTTTTTGTATAAAATATATATATTGTATTTGATTATAAGCATTAAGTTGCTAATTCTATTCTAGGTACTTTTTAAAAAATGTATCTTTTAGCAAAATTATATTAAGCTGAAATCTAAATATCTTTTTTTTTTTTTTTAATCTTCCTTATAAAAATCCTAATAGATACCCTTTTGAAACAAGTTTTAGTTTTATATTTAGTGAATGATTACTGTAAGCTAACTTGTATGAATATAGCACAAATGTATTTGTAAGCCAGCCGACTTTAGTGTATTGTTGTTGTTTTTGCTGTAGTTTTTTTTTGTATTTTTTTTTTTTAGTTTAACTTTTGTTTTTCGTTCGTTTGTTGTTCGTATTTTTGCTTCGTGTTGATCGTGCAGCTGTCTGAGCCTCTTGTTGTTTTTGTTATTATTATTTGTTGTGTGTATATATGAGAGTGTTGGCTCTGCTGCAGTCGCTCTGCCTCTGCCTCAGTCACTGCCTCTGCCTCTGCCTCGGCTACCGCCTCTGCCAACGTAAGCAGAGGCTATGGAAAAAAGTTTTAAATCTGGTAGACAAATCTGAAACGAAACGCGTTTGTGGCTTCAGACGGCGAGTGGCAGTCGTGCAATAAAGTCGTAGTATTCCAAAGTTTCCGAAGGCCAACACAAAATAATAATTCCCCCTTCTGAAAAGTTGGTCAGGCAACTTTTTCGCTGAATAAAATATACGTAAAAAATTCCTTTTACTCTGTAACATAAATTTTGGGAAAAATCCTCTACGTAAGTGCAGCTCAAACTCAAATCGTTCGAACAAAAACACAACTAAAGCAAGTGAAAAGTGTTGAAAAACTTAAATAAATACCGAAAAGAAAGTGTGCTATGCCGAAAATAAACAATTAACAATTACGAACTGTCAGAAATCAGTTATCCTTGCCGTATAATTCATTGGAGTTTGATATCAGTTAACTGATTGTTATTCCCCAATATCTTGTAGTGCTATAGATGACCGAAAAGGATACCGTCTCGATGACTACCGTTCAACTGAAGCCCGATTATGCGGCTAGCGAGGTCTACAGTACCGCCAGCGAACCGCCACCGGTAAGTACAGTGAAGCCTCTGACTCGTAAGAGAAACCCCCACTCTTTGTGTGTGACAAAAGATGAAGCTAATTAAGGGTTTATTGTTATTTTTTTAAGAGGCAATTAGTTGCGCCACTCTGGTTTACAGGAAAAAAACTAAAACAGCTTTTTCTCTTTAATGGAAATATTTAGTATAGAAATTATTTAAAAGCCACAAGGGGTTCGGTATTTTTAAATGATTTTTTTCAAGAAAATATTAAAATCAAATAAATGAATTATATAGTGTTTCATAATCTTTAAATATTCTAAGAAAAGCTTAAGGACATTCTTCGGTATTGAGAATTATTTATTCCTTTTTACGTGTACAACAACCAAGTCCTTGTAAATACTGTTTTAAAAAGCTATATCCCACGATATTAAGACTTCTTAAAAAGAGCTAAATTTCATACTAAAATCCCACAATATTAGCAAACTTTTTCAAGTATAAAATTCTATGTTTTCATACTAAATTCCTAAGATATTAGTCAACTTTTTTAAGGGAAAACCCCTATATTTTAATACTAAAATCCAGACTTTTTTGAGCTATATAAAACCTATACTTTCATACTAAAATCCCACAATTGTAGATGATTTTTCAAGTGTAAAATTCAATATTTTCATACTGAAAACAAACTATATTAGCTAACTCTTTTAAGCTATATACAACTTAAATCCCACAATATTATCCAACTTTTCCAAGTGTAAGACTTGCTTATTTATTTGTTTTGTTTAGCTGACCCGCTCAACGTTTGATGGGCCAGCAGCCAAGTGGGTTAGAAAACAAAAATGCCAGGGCCACCCTGTGACTTATTGCATCCGCTTGCGTACCACGGAGCGTATGCGCAATGCTGACATTTTCTCTGCACGCAGCTGCAAAACGTGATCTGCATTTCCACGAAATACAACAACAAATTTCAGTCTGCATCGCATGCATAAGCAATTTACAATTTGCAATTTGCAAATCTTTCCTCCCAGTGCCATTAATGTGCAATTTAAAAAAGAAAAAAATTATTATTATTATTGTCTGCCCAGGGAATGGCATGCAACGTGAGCGGCTTTGACAATTTTGATGCCAGTAGTAGTCTGCGGGTTGACATTTCCCTTTGCATTACACACCCGTACTCAAGTGGTGTACTTGTGTATCTGCAAGATACAAGATACAGCAGCACACTCACAGCGGAGCAATTCTCGGCGAGGTGTGAATGGATCGGTGTATCCGATATGGTTGGACAAATAGAAAACCACCTCAATCCCCGAGCTTGGAGAGCTCTAATGCTCCAGTCACGACACCGCTAATAACGCAAGACGCAAAACCTAAACAAATACAGTACTTATATAGACTTTGACTTGTTCAACTTGTTTTTTTTTTTTCTTCCTCCCCACAACACTATATATAACGAAATTATTAGATCTCTGGGTGGGTCTCTGCCTCTGTCTCTGTGTGGGTTAAATAAAAATTTGCATAAAGTGCACTTTACATTTGTTTTCAGTCAGCATCCGCATCAGCCATTAAACGATTTGCGAGGGTTTCCCCCTAGTCAGTTTATATATATTTATTATGGCTTATTTTAGTTTATTATTTTGTGGGGTACAGTGAAAGCAAACAGTTATCTAACAGGTTTCAAGCTAAAATTAAGGTTTTGCAATGGTAAATCTAGTTTATAGTTCAACCTTTAATTTTTTATATTGCAATTAAAGTATAAACTTTTAATTGATGTGCATTAAATCTTCTTTGATTACAATTTTATGACAAAATAAATATGAATAATTTCCATTTAGATTTCCTCTAATTGCTTATAATTTGTTTTGCATTTATAAATGCATTAAAACGAGTCAATGACTTGTTTGTGATTTATGGAGCCCAACAAATGACCTTTCTAATAACTCAATGGAGTCAATCCATCAATCAATCTGTTGCTCAATCCATCAATAGCTTTGTCTTAGCCTTCACGGGGTGACCCTTGGCCAAAAGCTTTCCCTTTTTGTGCATTATTTACCTTTTAAGATGAATGTCGATCAAATCTCATTAACTTTTTTGTCTTTTTGCTTGATTTTGTGTACTTTTCCCCCATAAGTGTGTGTGTATGACACTCGAAACAAAAACCACAAAAATCGTTTTTCTTTCGAAATGTGAATGCAAAAAAATTGAAAAACAAAACCAAACGAAAACCATGATTGACAATATGAAATTTTCTCTATTTCCCCCTTCCCGCACTCGCCACAACCCACAAAAACAACACTCAAAACCAACCACAGATGGGATTTTTTAACTTTAATCATCAGGTTTGTCGCTCAAGTCTTTTGTCTGCACAAAATCTCCACCAAATATAAAAAATTAAAACCTCATCAGTAGAGTAGAGTATAGAGTAGAGTGAATCCCATTCACTTCCACTTCACTTGCCGATGATGTTCGTAACTCACCTCACAATTTACTTTCGCAATTGCAGCCACGCACGTAAAGGTGTTAAAAAACAATAAAAAAAACTAAAAAAAAAAACCTTAAAACACATTGCACATTTCGTTGCACATTCAAACATACATATCTGACAGATACAGCCCCAAAAAAAAGAGGCCTCACCTGACTGCACCCACACCCACACCCCTCCATAAGTCACAGACAAAAGCTAAAAAACAAAAACTAAAAAACGAAAAACGAAATAACCAAAAAGGCAAATACGAAAACTGAAAAAAAAAACCAAGAGCAAGACTCTTCAGTTTTCACTTTGGGATTGCCATTTCCTCAATTTTGTGGTGCCTTTAGCTGGTTTCCTGTTATGCAATCAAAGGCCTCAATGCGGAATGATTTGTTTTTCATTCCCTCATTCATTCATATATACATATATATTAAGGTATACAGGTATATATAATAGATATACCTCGTACTACGTATCTATAATTTTCAGTTTGTTGACATTTCTCTTCTGCGGCTTTTTGCAACAACTTGTAAATTTTTGCACCTTTAGCGGAAAGCTTAATATTAGTCACGGCATCAATCTGCCAGAAAAGTAAATATTTGCGATGATCTAAGACGAGGTTAAAACCATTAAGGTGTTTTTTCTTAAACATTGAACAATTTGTTAAAACATTCGAATTTTCCAGAAATTTGTAGTAGATTTTGTAGATTTTTATTTATCTTCAAGTCTCCATAACCCAACTAAAAATCATATAGAAATTATTGTATTATAAACCTTAAGTCTCATCTTATTGCTGACTCTGAAATAATTTTTATAATTTTTCTAACTCACTAAGCTTTTCTGCACTCTGCACACTTTTATAGAAATTCTCTTTAAACAAAAACTTTAACCTTTTTGAAGGGGAAAACGTGCTGGGTCATATTAAAGTGTATTATTTTGTAGAGTAAGGTCGCTGCTTTTACCTGACCCCTAAAATTAAATTAAGCCAACACACAGAGAGGTCATAGACAAACCAGCACGTAGAAATACTGCACTTCATTCAACAATATATAATATATAACTACACCTCATGGCTAATGATTTTCTTGTTTTATCTTTTAGGCCTACAAGCGCCAGGCAAACTCGGTGAAAATTGCCAAAATCACCGCCTTTACCATCATTGTATCATCCTTTATTCTGGGAGCCTTTATCCTGGCCTCATCGTATCTGCAGGCCAAGGCCTCGTGCGATCAGGTTCAGGCTTTGGATTCAGTCCTGGAAAAGGAGCTAATGCTGGAGACTCTGCAGCAAGTGGGCAAGGTAAGTCAGGAATATACATATATATATATATCTATATACTATGCATCTTATGTACTGATACAATCAGTATAATCCGTTGGGCTTCAATGATCCGCAGCTATCGTGTTCGGACTCTGGGCCTTAAAATTATATAGTTGGGTAATAATGACTCGCATCGTTTGGCTGCACATGCCACAGGCTAAAGTCAGCTCCCGAAAAAAATAACTCGAATATTAAGCCAAATTAAATATAATTACCGGAAAATGTAGCTACAACCTCATGGTAGCCGAAAAAAAATAATCGACTTTCGTGTGGATTCGGTGTAATTTTCCCTGAACATTTTTTTGATGACTGCACGGGCTATTAGTTCCAAATGGAATCTGAGTCTTGTGACAGGCACGAAATGTGATAGGATATATTATATGATGGATATGGGAATTATATGAGAGATATAGATATAGAAAAACCTTCTGATTTGCTAGGAGTTAGCTATACATTTGCTTAAGCAGCAAGTAGTAATTTCTATTATCTAAAACAGATTTAAATAGTATTTCAGTTAATAAATTAAAATCACATGTCTAACTAAAAAAGATAATTAAATTTCCATCATGTTGTAATTGCCAGTAAATCATTGAAACAACTTAATGATTGTTACTCCCGTTGCCAAATGATTAACAACTCTCTATGAAATAAATAACTATATAAACATTTCCTGGTTACATTTGTTTATATAAACATCCCTCAAATAACTGGTAAACGATCACACCTTGCCACATAACTGCCAATTCAATCAAAAGTGATTGAATAAGCACTGCAATTTCACATATACGAATATTCCACATACAAAAGAAATTACCTTTTTTCTCAATTGTTTGCTTCCTTGAGAAATTTCACGCATGTAACCGTAACCAAATGGCCATTATAAAATAAAACAAAGAAAAAGTAGTTACCACTCTTTATGGTTACAATGTAAAAACAATGGATATATGCATATAAAACGATGGATTGATGACGACAATGACGGGGCAAAGAGCAATAATTCAAATTTAATGACTTTTTGGGGGCAATCATTTGCATTTTGTGTCATCAATATTGAATTAGTCGATCATATCATAATCATATTCAATCCAATTCGTAATTAGTTTCAATGCTGTAAATGAGGTTATTCAACTCTATGGAACTTATGTAAACGAATCGGAGAGCGATCGAGCAAAGCCAAGCGAATGAACCAACGAGCTCAGCGAATGCAACTATAAATTCAATCAAGCGAAATTCCCATAATTTGACGCTTAAGTGGACACCAAAATGGTGGAGTTTTTTGCTATTGGAGCTTGCGACATAATAACCAGAGAGCAGCAAACAATTGCGAATCAAATGCCAGATAAAGTGAAAGCAGCAGCAGCAGCAGCAACATCAGCAGCAATAGCAGCAACATCAGCAACAGCAACAGCAGCAGCAGCAACAGCAGCAACGGCAACATGAGCAACACAGTGGCAACAACTACAAACAAAACATGTTGCAAGTAATCCAATGAAACGGGCGTGGGCGCAGCAATTGTTGTTGCTGATGTTGCAGATGCTGTGGCTCCCAAATGCCAGAGATCATCAGCAACTGCAACTAGAGATGGTTCGGTTAAAAAAAAAATCGTGAAAGTGCAATGCAACTTCCCTTCATGATGTTATGTGATCAGCCAACACATAATCCTCTCCAATAAACATAAAAACAACACACTTTTTATAACAGCTTATTGTGGAATATGTGCTTCCAATTAATAAGATTGTGTTGGGGGTTTAATGTATAAGAGAGTGAAAGTTGCTCATTATTGTAAAGTCATCAGGGCAAGAGCTAAAGGCTTACTTTTTAATGAAACTTTTAAAGAGTATTTGGATTAATGTAGATCTTTAGATATATTGTAAGACATTTGTAATTAAAACTTCTATGGTTGAGTGTAAAGTATTTAAAAATAGGTTTTTGATATATCTCTCGGGTTATTATAGAAGTAAAATCAAACAAAAGCACATATAACTTTAAATTTGAAGATGTATGCATAATTACTCAAATGTAAAAAGATGAAATCTTGTATCTTCTATCCCAGTTACTTTTAAAATTCCTTAAAAATCAAGCTAAAGATAAACTATTCCCTCGACTCAAATCCAGCTTCAAAAACACCTCCATCTCAGTGGAAATCTCTGGCAGATGAAGATCTCACGTGATCATCGCTTGCAAAAGCCAAGTCATAATGCAATTTTCCTGTCATTTTCTTGTTTTTTTGTTCAGTTTTTCTTTTGCCGGCTGGCGCCGCTTGGCACCAAACCAAATAATCAACCTTTCGGTCTGGCAAAAGCATCCCAGGCATCCAATATCCAAGTTCCAACTTCCAGCTAAAAAGCCATCAGCAAACCAAGAGAGGCTGAGAGTTCCATTGTGGTTTTTAGCCATTTGGCTGTTGACTGTTTGCCATTTAAGGCAAGTTGCTCGCTTGAGTCTTTCGTTTTTGTTGTATCTTTTTGGAGTTTGTTTTTTTTTTTTTTTTGTTTTTGGGACACAGCAAATGCTTTTTGGCCTGACGATTATGTAATATGCCGAAGTAGATATATACACAGAGACACAGGCCGAGAGTGTGTGGCAAAGTAAATATAATTTATCTGCTGTTGTGCAAAATTGCTTTTTGCCGGAGAAGAAGAAAAACTTATTATTATGCTGGCTAGGCAAATGGGCACTTTTTTATTTATGGATGATTTCCCTAAAGAAATTGCCTGCGTTGCCTCTAGAATTTCAATTGCAATGACTGACGTACGTCAGTCAGTCAGTCCGTCCGGGCTATAAATAAAAGTTTTTTGCAAATGTAAATGCCTACGTCTGTCAGTCATTTTAATTGCACAAAGCGTTCAATTTGTAATCATTTAATTGCCATCTTAATGCGACTCGAGTCGCGGCCAGTTGATTCCCCACATGTCTGGCAAAAAGAAAAACAAATTAGAGGCAGTCACAAATGTTCTCTTTGTATTATAATAGATCTTATCTCCCGTAGCCATTGGCCTTGAAATTCAGCTACGAATACGCAAAAATAAACAATCAAATCGAGGCAACTTGTTTAACGAACTGGTTGGGTTCGGTTTTGGTTTCAGTTTCAATTTCATTTTCAGTCTCTGTTTTATTTTTACTTATTAACTGCTGTTTTTCTTTTAAAGTGAAATTTTCAGATTGTGTGTCATCTGGTTGGGAGAGCACTCATGTGACTCAGTTTTTGACTCAGTTTTAAATCTGCATAAAAACGGGTTTTGGGGATCAATGCTGTTTTTCTGAGAAGTTGTGAAAGGAAATTGCTTTAAATTTGTCACTCTAGAAACTATGATTAAAGCTTTCAATAAATTTAAAGAACATATAGCCAAGATGTTCTAGAAATGAGTAAAACTTAAAGGAATTGTGAAAATAGCTTAAAAGACGTCAGTTTTTATATGTTAAAGGGACATTAAAAGAATACCTTTTTGGTACACTTTTAACTTTTTGAATCACAATATTAAATATTATTGTAAATAGATCTATGAATTATTTATTTAATAAAATACTTAAGTAGAAGAAAGATTCTTTTTGATATAGAGATTCATAGTTTAAAGAAGCTTCTTTAAAGTTTATTTCAAATATTTCAAGTAATATGGACCTTCATTTCAATTTGCTCTAATTAAAAACATCCACTTCCTGTTTTTTTTAATCACTGAAGATTAAAGCATCTTAAAAAGCAAAATATAACATAAATAACTCAAGCTTCTGTAGAGGAAATCCATTGAGAACTTGTCCCAATTCAATGTCAACATCTTTTGTCAAGTACACGGAGACCTGCAAACGAAGTCAGTCATCCATCCAAAAAAAACCGGATATATAAAACATTATCCAATCTCTCGGACTCAAAGCTCCACCCACCACCACCCCCTGCCTGGTTTCACCATTAATGAGCTTCATATACATATATTTAAATATACATTCAAATATATATATGTATATATATTTTTCATTTGCCTATCTCTACGATTTTCCATTGTGACTGGGCGTGAAGTATGCTTAGCCACGATCCGCTCACTCAGGTACAAACTCAGGTATATAAACATATATATGGCCATTTGTTCGAGTGTGTGATTATGTAATTTCGTTGCTGTTTTGTTTAGACTTCTCGACAACAAAAAACAACAACAGCACGATAACTACAAGTTTATTCCTATGGCATTTTACTTTTGGTTTCAGTCCGTATGTAGGTTGGGGTCACATCTCCGCCGGGCAACTGCCATCAGTTAGGTCTCCTCATTGTTTCAAGCACGAAGAGCAGGCAAGGCAATAAAACCAGTAGAAATACAGAAAAAACAGTCGGTAATTTCAAGTTACAGTTGAGGGCCCAAACAATTTGAAGTAATTTTTAAAATTTTCAAACAAAAAACCAAACGAAAATTGCTAAAAAGATGAACTAAGATTTGAGCTGGTTGAGAGTTTGTAAAGAATCATCGAGATTTAAGAAAGAGAATGAAGCTTTTTTCCTTACACTTTGGTCAGAGAAATAAGGATAACTATATAAACCTCTCAATTATCTTATTTAAATCTAATAAATTTGTATTTTTAATTGTTTATTTTAAGGAACTTCCCCGTGCTGAGCCTCTGCTGGGTGCCGCTGGAACTGGCGACGAGTCTGAGTTGCAAAATCTGGATACGGAAAGCCGCAAGGCTGAACATAGCCAGGATGCTGATAGCAATGACAAGGACAACTCGTATTCCGATAGCGATGAGACCGATGAAATGCAGAAATATCCTGGCAAAATGCCGCTCGAGCTGGACTTGAGCGATCTGGCTGCCGCCATTCTGCGTAACAACAAGAAGTAAGTAGTCCTGAAATTAATAATTTAAATAGATAGAAATATCTTCTTTTCCCTCCCTTAGATCCCGCATGAACTGCGTGGTGGAGCGCAAGCACGCCGAGGAGATTGTCGACTCACCCTCCAAGACTGTGGCCTTGCCTTTCGGCGTTAACCTGACCACCGATCCCAAGAAGGCCCGCATCACCGGTGAGCGCATCTCCATTTTCTGCGATGGCGGTGAGGATAAGGAGAAGGAGGAGAAGGAGGCCAAGCGCCAGCGGGAGCAGGAGGAAGAGGATTCCGATGAGGATGCCGAGCCCATGCGCCCCATGTTCATTCCCTTCCAGCGTGTCAACATTCCCTTTGGCCGCATTCCCGATCAGATGCCTCTGACCCACATGCCTCAGCGCATGATGCCCCCAGCCATGCAGATGCACCAGCAGTTGCCCCAGCAACAGCAGCAGGGACCCATCATCATTCGCCAGCTGCCTCCTCCGTTCCAGCATCTGCCCATGCGTCCGCCCATGCCACCACAGGTGATGCAGGCCCCTCGTATGGAGTCCTCCGAGGAGATGCAAATGCCCAAGATCCAGACCCTTCGCATTCACATGCAGCAGCTGCCCTTCCGTGAGATCCATGTGGCCAATGATGTGCCCGTCCAGATTCCCGCCCAACAGCAGCAGCGTCAGGAGATGCAGCACCGCCAGGAGATGCAACAGCGTCAGGAGATGCAGCACCGCCAGGAGATGCAGCAGCGTCAGGAGCAGCGTGACATGCCCCAGATCCAGATCCAACCTATGCCTTTCGGTATGGCCCTGCAGCGCGTTGGCATCACTCCCGAGGATCTGAGGAACATCCAGCGCATGGCCGAGGATCGCATCACCGATGAGCTGCGTCGTCTGGCCGCCGAGGAGGGTGCCGAGTCCAGTGAGGGCAGCGAGGAGGATGTCTCCTCATCTGGCGAGCAGGCCACCACCGAGTCGCAGTCCCAATCCCAGTCCCAGTCAACGGTGCTCCAGCAGCAGCAGGCTCAAACCGAGCAGCAGCAGGAGGAGCAGCAGCAGCAGCAGCAGCAGCAGGAGTCTCAGGAGCGTCAGGAGCAGCCCGAGCAGCCACAGATGCGCATCCAGCGACTGATCCTGCAGCCACTGCCTGAGCAGCCCCGCGATACCATGACCCCGCCCATGCCCGACCAGCCCCAGCAGCTGCCCTTCGGACGCATGGTCTATGGCCGCAGCCTGGCCACACCCGTCCGCATCCCGGTGCCCATGATGCAGGCCATGCAGGAGGGTGGACCCGCTGCCCAGGAGGAGTCCCAGCGACCACACTGTGAGTACATATTTTATCGAGAGAGAATTGATAACAAATTCATGAGAAAACTCTTGTTTAAGTCGAGAATTTTTCAACTAACTGAATAGTTTTAAAAACAGATAAGAAACAACAATTAAAAGCTATAACAGAAATTCGATAAAATTATAAAAAATTCTTCCAAATAATAAGTTTTTGGATCTGTAGAATATTTAAATATATTTCCTCCTAAAAAATTCAATATTGATAAAGCTTTCTCTCAGCAAATCCGACTCTTTCAATAATAACTTTTTGTAGCCTGCTTTAAAATCGAATAATTAATAATTATTATAATTAAATTCATTTATTTCTCCCATTCAAAATGTTTCCATAATGGGAATTACTTGTCCAACTTGATTTATTAATGAAACCAATACCTAATTAATGATTCAATTACTCTTGAATCAAGATTAAACAATCATTAAAATGGATGAGCAAAATCTAAAAATACACCAGTGCTTTCATGGTTTACTTTTTGTATTCTTTTGTTAACTATTTAATTTATTTAAACTTTTACAGTCGTCCAACCTCGTTCCGTTTAAGTAACAAGAAGACCACGCCTGTGATTGCTGCTGTGCGAATCGAATCTCGACGAGAGGGATAAAACCGAGAAGAACTAGGAGAAGGAGTCATCATGTCACCAACAAAAAACCCGAAGAATCTATTGAATTGTAACCGAGTCGTCTCGATTTGTTTTGTTATTAAAGCAGCTTAAAAAAAATTAAGAAAGAAATGTTGAAAAAAAAACCAACGCCAAAAGTATAACAAGAATCTTTCAAAAAACTCTTTTATACCATTTTGGGCCTTCTTCTAAACCTCTTTCTCTATATAATTCATATTTGTATATTTTATATTACTCCGTGTATTACATTCCAATCAACAACAACAACAACAACAACAACAACAACAACAACAACAACACAACAATGAAAAAGAAAGCAAACTTCCTGTGAAGAAAATTATGAAAATTGTGAAAGTTTTCCAAGTGTTTTTGTCTTTCAGTTATTTCTTTTTTTTTTGAATTGTCGACAGTTTTGTTTTCACATACACACGCACAAATAAATCCGATGGAAATTTTTGTACATAAATTATTATCGTATTTTTAATTAATTAATTGTCTTGTGTAGTTGTTAGTAAATTAAGAACGAAGCTAATGCTGAAGCTGATCTGATATAATCTTGGTATAATCAAAATCCAAAAAAACAAAAACGACAGCAAACAGAAATTTGTACATTTTATATAAATATAAATATATATTTACTATATATACACACACAACACACACATTTTGAAGCGAATAAAATTGTGGATAATTGGAAATCAATAAAGAAGTATTTCTATAAAGCTGGTTAATATAAAAAGAAGGAAAATAGTCTGGTGAAAAATAATGAAGTCAGGTAAATGGTTTAGGATTAAACTTTTATAGATTCTTAAGCATATTTGCCTGATTTTTGTTTTAATGAATGAATCCTAGACACGTTATTAACATTTAATAAAGAACAACTACAAATTTGTTTAGCTGATATCTCTAAGATGTCCTACCCATACGTAGATGTCATCCTGAATCAGATAAAACTAATGCAACATAACAAAAATCCTCGAAATCTATAGTTATGATATAGGGATTTAAAAAATGTTAATGTGGAAATGACTAAGGTGTGAATATTATTCAATATCTTGCATTAGGAAAATTTTTCATGAATTACAAACTGATTAGTTCAAGATGTGTTCAAAACTTAAAGCGTAAATATTGAACTAAATTGGGAATTGATTACACGCTTAAAACATTCTTAAAAGCGTTAAAATATTTTCTAAACCCCTTAATGAATAAACCAAGTATAGCATTGTTTAAACTTTATTTTTTTTGTTTACGTCTCTAGACATGCTCTCTTTTCCTTTTAGATACCGCTCAAATTATACAAATACGCAAAAGTCTAACAATATTTGTTGTATAAGTTTTACACTCTCTTGTCCATTTTTACAATGTTTGTTTGTGCTTGTCGTTAAATATTCATCTTTGTTTTTTATGTATATCATGTATATTATGTATTTAGATCAGGGTGTAAGTTAGATGCTGGGGTTCTATATACAATTTTTTTGCATGTGCACAAGACAGGTTAACAACCGAAGTCAGCAGCGACCGTTGCCGCAGTGATTTTCTTTTGATTTCCTTAATAATTCTTTACAATTACATCTTGTATAGTATATAGGTGTATATATATATATAACATAAGTGACTAATCGTAAGTTGCATTGACGAGTGGGTAGATATCTAGGGGTTCTTTTCGATTTTCTTTGTAGGTTTTCTTTTTCTGTTTTGGGTGGGGTGATGTACAATACGTTTTCGTAGCGCTCTTTCGTAAATAACTAAATTCGTCTAAGCCTTAAAAACAAAAACAGACACACACACACACACGCTTTGAATACAATTACAATGTTTCATAACCAAAAGAATTATGAAGGAAACATATTACGATGGGGAGTTGGAAATAAAATATGGATCTAAACATATAATCTTTGTTCCTGGTCGGACTCACTCATCACTTGTATCACTGATTGATTTCCGATTTTAGTCAAGTTCCATTATCCTTTTTTTCGTTTTCTCCTATCCTGTCCTCCTACATTTCATAATTTTCATGTATTTCTAGGATGTAAAGCTGTAACAACGCGAACGCAATTCAATAATATGATAGTAAATATTAGCACTTCCTATGTCTTCGTTGACTATGACTATTTTTGTTTTTGTTTTTTTTTTTTTTGGGATGATGATGCGGCATCCCGGCCTTGCCTAGCCATTCTCGCATTGGTGACCCTCACAGTTACCCCAAAAGATGCAATTTCCAATGCCGCTGTAGCAGATTAGCGAGACGGCGGTCAGGAAGACCAGGCTACATATTGTGCAGGGTTTCCTCTCCAGAAAGAATCCGACTAGATACAGCACAATGAACATCACGTGCGTCTCCATGAGCGCCGGATTTGTGGGTTTCGGTATCAGCAGCACGGGCAGCAGGCATTGCAGGCAATACATTGTGGGCGTTCCTCCAGGTGCTTCAGTTCTCTGAGCGTCGTGGGTGGTGAATGGATGTGGTACTGGATGTGGTTCCTCCTGGCCAGAACGTTGACGTGGTCTTCGGCGACCTACAAGCGGATGGGCCGGGGTTTAGTCTTAATGATTCTATAATTACTATCTATCGTTGGGTCCTGGGCAAAGGCCATCAAGTGCCTCCACTCTGGCATTGGTCTCTCTTAGGGGATTTCGCGCCGTGGGATTACCTCTCCTCCAGCCGCTGGCCTCTCCGTTATCAACTTGATTTTTCGCTCGTTTGTTGTGCGTCGTTCACTATATTATCACATATTTACCCGAAATGCTACCAAAATAGAGCTGCAAAAACATTCATTGAACCGATACTATCGATATTTCAAAATAGAAGAGGCATCGATGCTAAAACTATTCACTTTGCAGCGGGAAATAAAATCAATCGATTTCTTTTTAATTTTTACGATTTGTTAAATTAAATTTTAAAAATCTTTAAAAACTAAAAAAGTTTAACTACTTTGATAATTTATATTAAATATTTCAAATACTTCTCATTAGAAATTTGAAATACAGTGTTGGTAAACGGTTAGAGATTATTGCTCGTTACTGGGAATAAATGAAACCACTAATACCGCCAGACCTTAAAACATATATAACTTTAACTAATTATTAATGTTTTTCTTAGCTTTATAATATAATTCCTAATAAGTCTTTATAATAAGTTTTAAGCTTTACACCCTTTTAACAGCTTTATAATGTAAGAAACTTCGTTTTTTTTAATAACTTTTGAAAGTCAAAAACATATTTATTACTTCACAAAATGAATTGGTATGCAAGAATTTCACTAATTTAATTTAACAAAACATTACAATATTCAATAACCAAAATGTGATGACAATGGGGTACAACTCAACAATTTTTCGTAAATATAATCGATCTTAGAATGCATTTTCCACATTTATCTTAAAGTAGATTCCTATATATTAACAGGAAGACCGTTTTCTTTTACAATTGTTTTTTTTTTTTTTATGATTTGCGCAGGTTATTTTGATATGAAATTTGATACATACAAGCTTGTCATATGGCAACGATTGATTAATGAGTCTAAAAAAATAAAGCTACAATCTCTTCTGGGCATTAAAGCCCCAATCATTCCTTCCAGTACAGAGTGTTGGCATACAATGAAGGAACCGTGGCCAGGGGCAACAAATAAATCCACCCAGCAAAACCGGCTACATAAAGAAAAATGGCTAGGACACGTCGCCAGAGATCCTGCTGCCACAAATCCTGAATATCCGGTAGACCCATGTGATTGCAAAATGCATGCACCAGAAATGGAGCCACCAAATGACCAGTTCGAGCAAACAAATATGCTGAATAGAACCCAAACAACGTGGTGTAGGTAAACTGGAATAAACCTATCAACAAGGCAGTGCTTAGTTCCACTCCCAAACTCAGTCGCTCGGCTATGTGGTGCAGGTGAGCCACCCCAAAGAACAGAGGTGTGATGAAGACGGCAACCATGGGTGAAAAACTCTGCAGGATAAGGGGCATCATGCAGGCTCGGAACACGAACTCTTCGCTTAAAGGAGCCATCACATGATTACGCACCCAGATAATGCTGCTGAATGATCCTCGCCAGTAGTCAATATCTAATAAGGAGAGGAGATACTCAATATGATTAAATTCCATGTTTAGAACGAAATTGAATCAAACTTTGATTGAATTACAAACCGAAATACGAGCGTATTGACTCATTCTGCATGTTTACAAAGATGGGTCCCAGGAAGAGGAGAGCTGTGAGGGCGTAGGGTATCACCACGGCCTGCCACAATCCCTCCAATCGGAATCCTAGCAATTTCGGGAACGGCTCCCGTTTCAGCAGTTCCGGCGATGAAAAGAAGTAAACAAAGAAGGGAGCCATCAGCATCACTATGGATACGCTAATGAATCTTCTCTTAACCGTCGTGGGATGATCCCGGTTATGTTTGGTGTTCCAGATATAGAGACTTCCCACATAAAGCAGCGCCAGCACAAAGCAGCAGCTCACCGAGGTGATCACAGGTATCTGTGGCAGGACATCTTGGCCTGTCGCCTGCGGTGTCATAATCTTTCCGGCTTCCATTTCACTCATGTTGGACATTTAAACGCGGGTATTCGTCATTCTTTGGATTAACCGAAAAAAAACAGATGTTTTGCAGCAGTAGGACCGTTCACTTAACACAGAGTTATCGGATTTGCAGTCACACTAATTAATGATAAGCGGAAAAATACTAAATAAGCAACACTAACACAGCAGCGTGCGGCGGCGGCGGTGAATTTTGGTTGCGTTTTTTAAAACAATTATTGCTGATAAAGTGGACCGGTTCATAAAAATAAATTCATAAAAATTATTCAAGAGGAATAAGCACCCGCCGAAGAACAGCAAAGATGTCGTTTTTACTAAAGGCAGCCGTCACAGCCCGCAATATCGTTTATAAGGTTTCTTTGCAAACATCTGCTTAACTCTTCGCCCAAAGAGAAGTTTGACCTTTGTCTCCGCTTTGTTTATCTTTCCGGCAATAGGTGCCAGTCCGCCACCTGAATCTCCTCGAGTTCCAGAGCAAGGATCTCCTCCAGAAATATGGAGTGGCCATTCAGCAGTTCAAGGTCTTGGATAACTCCAAAGCCGATGCCGAGGTGGTCAAGACATTTGGTAAGGTGGAGGAGACAAAATTTCGGGGTTTATGTAATCTTCCCCAGCTAATTGATGTTAAATGTGTGTTTTTTTTAGAGTACCCGGAATATGTGGTGAAGGCGCAGATATTGGCCGGTGGGCGTGGCAAAGGTACTTTCGATAATGGATTTAAGGGCGGTGTGCATATCACTTCAAAGTAAGATATAATTAAAGTGTGTTCTGGGTTTCAATTTCGTAAATTTCTGTTCATTTATAGTTTCTTAATATATGGTGACTTTAATTACCTAAATTTAACATTTAATTATAAGGTGAATTTAAAATTTTGACTGAATTTAAATGTCATCAAGACGATTTAAAGGAAAGGAATTTTAAGCTATATTTCATTGAAGTTTAATTCGTACTTTGACCGAAAAATACTACTTAAAAACACCAAAACATATAAATTTAATGTTCTGTTACGGTGAACCCTTCTTAAAAATGTAATGAAAATAGTTAGTTTTTCGATTCGATGAGCTGTATCTCCATATCAACACAAATTCTTTATTTATTTTTGATAAATTCAAAAACAATACATTATCGTTACGATACAGATAAGCTTATCATAATAATACTATTATTTAACAACTTAAACCTAAACTTTGCCAATACTTTGATGCTTAATATGATAACAGTTTGAGAAACCCAGAACAGACCCCATAACGAACACTCAGTTGATAAGACTCGTTTATATTATAATAATAATTGATTGTACTTTCGGCAGCAAGAGCGAGGTGCTTTCGCTCAGCCAGAAGATGATAGGAAACCGACTGATAACCAAACAAACGCCCAAGTCTGGAATTATGGTCAATAAGGTCATGGTGGCCCGCAGTGTCAACATTACCCGGGAGACATATCTCTGCATCTTGCTGGATCGTGAGCACAATGGCCCCGTGTTGATTGCCTCGCCGGCGGGCGGTGTGGATATTGAAGCTGTCGCCGAGGAGACCCCAGAGAAAATTAAGACTGTTCCCTTGGACATTGACCAGCCCATACCAGAGGCAACACTGGTAGAGGTGGCCAAGTTCCTGGAGTTTAAGGGAGATGCTGTGAAGCGGTGTGCCGCAGAAATTCAAAAACTCTACACTCTCTTTAAGGCTGTCGATGCCGTACAGATTGAGATTAATCCCCTGGCAGAGACGGATAAGGGAGAGGTGATCTCTGTTGATGCCAAGCTCAACTTTGATGACAACGCTGAGTTCCGTCAGAAGGATATCTTCTCCATGGATATCACCGAAGAGGAGTCTGATCCCCGTGAAGTAGAGGCGGCCAAATACAATCTAAACTACGTTGCGATGGATGGTAACATTGGATGTTTGGTTAATGGCGCTGGACTGGCCATGGCCACCATGGACATCATCAAGCTGAATGGCGGTGAACCGGCCAATTTCTTGGATGTCGGTGGCGGTGTTAAAGAGGATCAGGTGGCCAAGGCATTTGAAATCCTAACCGCCGATCCGAAAGTCAAGGGAATCCTGGTCAATGTTTTCGGTGGCATTGTCAACTGTGCCACCATTGCCAATGGCATTGTGGCGGCTTCCAAGAAACTGCAACTCAATGTACCATTGGTTGTCCGATTGGAGGGCACCAATGTGAACCAGGCCCGCGAAATCCTTAAGAATTCCGGTTTGCCCATCCAGACGGCCAGTGATTTGGATGATGCTGCCCACAAGGCAGTGGCTGCTCTTAAATAGAGTGGAGTTTTAATAATTTAAGGAAGGATTTTCTATTATTTAGGAGAAAATGTCTTCCATAAAAATATCACGACGCACATTAGCATTTAAAACGGACAGGCCTTTTATATATAAGTTTTATCGACAATATATCCGGAATATGTTATTTTTAACATAAGAGTTAAATATTTATTATTGGGAAGCAGTTAAATTCAATTGTGGGAAAAGAGCGAAAATTAATTGGAAATGTATAAAATATTATTTAAATATTTTAAAAGTATTTTGACATGATTTTTACATACCAACAAGGGCAATATTTAAAAAAATACTGTTATATTCGTTGGGAACTACTACTTATTAGTAAACCCATAAATATAGCTTATTGGCTTATAGATCCAATTGGGGAAATATTAATGGTGGATTATTATAAGAAAATTTATCAAGTAAAGCTCATTGGGGGTATTTTTTAAACTAGATTATAATTAAGATCACGATATAAATATTTATTTTTATAAAACCTATCGATTTGTAGATATATATCGATATATCCGTCACATCGCTAGTCCACACCCAAAGCCAGCAAACCAAACAAACATATTGCTCGAGGAAAACAGCGAATTTCTTCGAATTTCGAACTCAAAGCATGCAAAAATCGTCTCATTTTGCACGCGAGGATTCCCAGGAGCATCTGCCCAGCAGCCATACCCACAACCCGGTGAACATGAAGCGGCGCACCCTCTCCGGTAGCTGTGGCGTTGGCGTCTTCGTCTTTGCCTTTGCCTTCATTGTGATTGCCTTTGCAACGCCCAGTTGGTTGGTGAGCGATTATCGCATCACGGGAGCAAAGCTGGACCGTTTAGGGCTTTGGGTGAACTGCTTCCGGTCGCTGCCGGATGTGAACGATGACAGCCTGCGTCGGTTCTTTGTGGGCTGCCGCTGGGTCTACGATCCCTTCACCACAGGCTACGATGAGATCAGGGGCTTCCTGCTGCCCGCCTTCATGATAACCACACAGTTCTTCTTCACACTGGCCTTCATCGGGATGCTGGTGAGTGCCATTGGAGTCCTGATCTTCTTCCTGTGCGCTGGCCCGGATCAGAAGCACTTCATCACGCTCATTAGATCATTGGGATATGTGCTCCTTGGCTCTGGCGTGAGTGCAGCCATTGCCGTGATTGTGTTTGCCTGTTTTGGTAATCGCAATGGTTGGATGCCGGAGCACGCGAACAACTGGTTCGGTTGGTCCTTCGTCCTGGCCTGTGTGGGCACGGTATTCACCTTTGTGGCTGCCGCCCTGTTCCTCAGCGAAGCCCATGTCCAGCAACGGAAGCGGGTGCAGTTCAAGGAGTCGCAGACGCGATTTGAGCTAGTGCGCGGATAGTTGCAGGTAAGTACTTGGCCATATCCAAGTCATGGTCACCGGTCTGACCTTCCTCTTTGTTTTTTCTTTTTCAGACACAGCAACTAGCACACATTTGAACTAAGGAAAAAGAAAAACAAGAATCTAAGAAGACACATTTCAGAAACAAAAACATTCCGTCCCCACGAAGAATTCTCACATTCTAACAATTGCAGTCGAACTTCAACAAGTAGGAACTGTATGCTAGCCAAAACTTGACAAGTAGCTTTTATAATTTGTGTTTCTCTTTAAAATATTTGTAGTTCAGTGTTTTATGTTATTTTTGAAAGTTAATCTGTATCTTATATTGACAATTTTGGATTTTAATAATTAACTTTTGTTCAAAAGGTTAATAATTAACAAACAAAAACTTACTCGAATTAGAATACATGTATTGTTTTTGTCTCAAATCCAGTTAAACTTATTAAAAAGTTTTAACAAATCATATCATATCACTATAAGCAAGTTATAAATCTTTCCTGTTAACTTTGACAACAATTCAATTGATATTGGCTTTGCATTAGGTTTTCGTTTCTAAATATCTTAAGATAGGCTAACATTTTATATACAAAAACAGATCGAATATTTATTCCAACTAGTTTAAAGGTTCTGCTTATAGAAGTTCGACTGTAAGTTATAGGTTTTTAGTTGAAAAAGTTTATGCAATCGACAGACGACACATCAACATCCCAGGCTTTCAGTATAATGGTACTTATGAATCATCCATCCAATCGACCAGAACAATTCCAGACGAAGACTGAATGTTTTTCCGATTATGAAAAAGAAAGGAAAGACGCTCAACCAGATGACGCATATGTAGAGTATAATGCAATAATATTTGCATAACAATTTTCGCTCAATTAACGTCCAGAGACAACCAGACACACATTGCCATTCCCCTCCAGCAATTGTACCTACCATATATTTTTTTTGTATTTGCAAAGTCGCAGGCTAGTCGGAAACTAGCAACGAAATATTACACTCGTGCCTTAATTAGAGAGAGAGATATATATATATAACTATTTTGATATAGTTTATAGTGCCTAAATACAAATTATAATTATTGTTAGAGATACCTAACCTGACCTGACCTGACCACCTGCGACAATACCCAAAAGCCCCATTGGATTGCATAAACTTCTGCTAAGCATAGTGCCTTAGTTAAGTGACCCAGAGAGAAAGCTAAGCGAATCACATTCGTCCATTAACTTTAAGCAATAATCATTCCCTTTTGTACTCGAATATAAAACGCACACGTAGTACGTACCTTCTTTTGAAGGTAATATAGAATCTGTATTAGTATTTATCCGTCCTTTTGCACAATGCTATACAAAACTTTTATTTGTAGCATATTCTAAACCAAGAATTTAGCAATGTATTAAAAGCAAAAAGAAACTCTTTTTACCCCTCCCATATACAATTTTAATATTTGTAACATCTTTTATGTACAAACGACTTTTAGCTAAAGCGAAGAAAAATAAAGTTTTTATTGTGTACAACATCTGAATGCATCTTTTGAGCGAGTTCAAGGCAGAGCTTTGGGGGTCCAAACAATGCATCTGCCACTTCGAAAGTCACTTTGGTGCATTCGACTTAGTTTTCCCATGGCGTTTGCATTTTTGGGAAATCCGAACAAACTTTTTTGTTGTTGCTGTTGCCGTTGTCAGCTTTTGTAGCTGCTGAGGCAATGCGTCGTCGGATATACATCGACCGACTGGAGCAACAATTGATATATCTCCCAACAGATTGTGGGCTGCGCCATGTGTCACGTTGCGATGTTGAAGTCATCTTTTTGTTTTGTTTTGGATTATTCAAAATTGATGGTTAAATAATGGTATTAGGACATTGGTAATAAATAGGGGAGGAATTAGGTATTGTAAGCTTATTGCATTATGAAAATCAAACCTAATATGCGTAGAAGGTGATTAACCTTAAGTCAAAGTTAAATTAAACCTACAAAATATTTGTTAATTTGCAATAGTTTGAATTATTTTTATATTGTGAATTTACTGTTTAATTCAATGTTTTCAATCAATTTAATATAAATTCATGCATCTTTTAATATTGTTTTTTGAATTTAAGAAGCTATACCAATTTTAAACCCGATTCAAGAGATGTTTAACTTAGAGGCAAAAAAGAAAAGGTATTTCAGGATGTACGAAGATATATACAGTCCTGTCAATAATTTGAATTCAGGAAATGTCTACAGTCCTCTTAAATATATAATTTTCCGATGGTCATCACTAGGCGAGCTCATTTAGACACATATCCCGGCTGTTCGTTTGGTAAATTGGATCTTAAAATTCATAAGAGGTACAACTATTAAATTTTAAGCAGCCGTTCCTATAAATTTGTTCAACCAAGAATAAATCACATAAAAGATCTTTAATTTTGAAGTAAGTAAAACTATATATTAAATAGTTTAATGTTCCCAAAATCTAAATAATAAAGTAGTTCTAAGTGCTGCGCATCTTTTTCTTTATGTTACCTTTGACAGCAATAAGAGATGTTGCACAACATGTACCTGCAACAATTGCCAAGAAACATTTTACCGGGCATCCTATAACGTACAGGGTATCTATGTATCTAAACATATCTTTCCTACTCTTTCCGACTTATATTCCAAAGTAGGTTTCTATTAAGAACATAATCTGTCATTTGCATATATTAATTTTAAATTAAACAGTTTAATTTAATGATATATTATGAACGGCCTACGTTTAAGAAATGACCTGTTTGAATTATTTTTATATTGTGAATTTACTGTTTAATTCAATGTTTTCAATCAATTTAATATAAATTCATGCATCTTTTAATATTGTTTTTTGAATTTAAGAAGCTATACCAATTTTAAACCCGATTCAAGAGATGTTTAACTTAGAGGCAAAAAAGAAAAGGTATTTCAGGATGTACGAAGATATATACAGTCCTGTCAATAATTTGAATTCAGGAAATGTCTACAGTCCTCTTAAATATATAATTTTCCGATGGTCATCACTAGGCGAGCTCATTTAGACACATATCCCGGCTGTTCGTTTGGTAAATTGGATCTTAAAATTCATAAGAGGTACAACTATTAAATTTTAAGCAGCCGTTCCTATAAATTTGTTCAACCAAGAATAAATCACATAAAAGATCTTTAATTTTGAAGTAAGTAAAACTATATATTAAATAGTTTAATGTTCCCAAAATCTAAATAATAAAGTAGTTCTAAGTGCTGCGCATCTTTTTCTTTATGTTACCTTTGACAGCAATAAGAGATGTTGCACAACATGTACCTGCAACAATTGCCAAGAAACATTTTACCGGGCATCCTATAACGTACAGGGTATCTATGTATCTAAACATATCTTTCCTACTCTTTCCGACTTATATTCCAAAGTAGGTTTCTATTAAGAACATAATCTGTCATTTGCATATATTAATTTTAAATTAAACAGTTTAATTTAATGATATATTATGAACGGCCTACGTTTAAGAAATGACCTGTGAATAATTGAATTGACCGATCTTTTGACAAGGGTAACTTTTAAAAGTAGTTTTGTGTTACGAAATATTTGATTAATTGTGCATTTAAAACGCCATGGAATTCAATATTTAAACTGCGAAGGCTGTACTTTGGCCGCCTTTCAAATCTTCCACAAAACTATTAGATCATTTTGTCAACAATATCTGGCTCACTCACCACTCACCCGGGCACTTAAAATGTCTTTTAAATGGTAACCATAACATAAAATGAAATATATTAATTTATCTGGCTTATAAAGGCATAATTAGTGGAACTGGTGGACAGAAATCTCGAACAGAAAATTCCCCCACCCACGTTCTTTTTTTTGTGTTTTTGTTCACCCGACATGGCAATGACATTCAGGGAAGAAAACGGAAAGATAAATGGATCTCTTATGCGGATTTTTGAGGACTTGCTGAAGCGTGAAATGTGCCAAAAAGCTAGTGAGGATTGATGGATGGATTAATGGGGAGATTCGCTATAGATCTGATTAGCACACGAAAACCAAATCGAAGTCGAGACAAACCGGACGCCCCATGCCCCATGACTGAATAACTGACTGACTCCATCGGGCGGCCTTGACGAGAACTGCACAGAAATATGTGCTAAACGCAAATTTATTTACGGACTTTATTATGGCCATTGGCCACCATCATATATTGAGAGTGAGGAGCAATCAAATATCCACATTCACAAATCACATCCATATTCACTTTTTGGTGTGACCTCATCTGCCGTTAGCCGGACGAGTAAATCGGCTTACAACAATTATTACACGGAACGGATTAAGAACTTGAAAATACGAGTAATTCGGGATTAAAGCAACCAACTATAAGTGCGTGTGTGAGAAAATTGTCAGGGTTCTTACGCATTTTATTTTATTTGTGATTGACGGACGGACAGCTTTGAAATCCCCTTTTGGAGCAGTTTGCTGATTACATATGATTTAGAAGACAGCGTAATTATAAAATGTTCATGGGAAATTAGCATGAACAGAAATCATAATTTGCATATAATATTCATGGCAAATAAATTTAAAACTAATATATAAATAAATACATTTTATTATGAAAAAGACACACAAACACAGTGGGTAGAATAAATTTTTGCTTAATTTGTTTAAAGAGGTTTCAAGATTTTTTCATTTGCATAAAATAACTTCTGCCGCCATACCATACCATACAGTAGAACAAGAATTTAAAGTTAATTCCTAGACCGAGACACGATGTGCTTCATTAACAAAAGGCAATAATATACCTGTTCTTAGGCGATGGCCAGAGATTAATTGCCATCGCTTTGGTCACAATGAAGCATTTTGCATAATATTTTCAATCAAATCGAGCGTCAATGAACGCTTCTTCTACACATTGAAATTAAAAGTTGTCGGCGGTGAAAAACTTCAAATCGAAACCGAGAGTTTGGTTTGGGCCAGCGATTACGCAAAGGTCTCAAAAATAAACTGTTTATAATCAATAAGCAATGGACGAGAGCCATTAGATTGATTACTATTTGCCACACGCAAACTTTCCTCAAATCCACTCTTTTTTTTTTGAAGTTTTGTCTATCTATAAATATTGATTGACTCCGTGAAGGTCGAACTTAGTCCGGGCTCATTAAATCTTAATGGTCATTGTGGGTTTTTTATTTTATTATTTTTGAAATAGAACAACTTGTATGGCATTTTACATAAATCGGGCGACTTCTGCTGGATTAACTTGTCCAAGTTAATGGGATTCATCAGTTTTAAGAGCTTTCCTTTCCTAAATGTTTATAGAGTCCGATCTGTTTGCTGGTTTGCTGATTTCTTGGTTTGTCGTTATTCTGCTGACGTTGGTAATTAATGGGGAATTTATTTGAATTCTTGTTTTTTTGGTTAAAATTCAGTGTGTATCTTAAACGAGATTAGCATGCTTATAAAAGTTTCATAACATCCCAAGGAGTGTATGTAGAGTGTGCAAAAAAAGAACAAGAAGCAAGTTTGCATCATGAATATGCAATCGAAAAGTGGAAACATTTCTTTATAGAGTTGAATGAAATTCATTGTCTGGTTGAGGTAAAACGAAAGCGGAAAGATAAAATGAAACCACTTGAATATATATAGTATATATCTTAACTTATAAATATATAGAAAAAACCCCAAAAAATCTGGGTGTGTTTAGAACAAATAAGGCTTGTCTGGGAACAAGTATTTAAATGAAATTTTAAACATTTTCGATGAAAGTTCTTTCAGTTCGAAACCGAAAGTCTTTCTCTAGAGATTCCAAATTTGGTTTTAGTTTCTTTCCTTTCTGTTGAAAGTAAAAGCACTTTTAAGCAGTTTAAAATCTATCAATATTTTCTCATATTTCCCTCTCATATTTCATGATAAATGCTCGACTTGTCAGATTTTCAATTAAATTCCCAAAAAATAAATCATCTGTGGCGCATAGAGACCACCCGCAGTTTAAACCATTCAAAGTCTCACCTTATAACTGACACCGTCTTTAGATTAAGTATTATATACTATATATATATACACGATATTGTGCGTCAGCAAGTTCCTTGAACTTCACACAGTCACCTAAAATAGATGAACGTGGCAGGGCGCTGAGACAGTTTGGTGGCTTTTAGTTTAAACACGATGCTTAGTTATTATAGAATATTATATCACACCGGATAACCAGTATTCTTTTGGCTGACCATAATTCTGGCTACCCGTGATATTATCATTCAAATGGCCCACAGTTCCAACCTCAGCCTCAGCATCCGTCCAACAAGTGGCCAATCCGGACACGCAACATTTGTGCGTCACACAAAAATAGTGCTGAGCCAACAGATCAGATCATTAGATATGCTCCTTCTCAAAAATAGAGGAGGAGGAGAAGGATGAGAAGCTGGAAACCGGTGACAAGGCCATAATTTTTATGTAAAATACACTTTATAACACTTTCAGATAAGAAACGCGCCCTGAGTTATGAAAGAAAAGTGCCATT